CCTACTATATCCTACTATATATAAAAAAATAGTGTGTGTGTGTGTGTGTGTGTGTGTGTGTGTGTATATTTGCATGCAACTTCCGTAAGTATGTACCGGACCTACAGCCTCAGGGGAAGGTTTTTAAGGTACGTATGATACGTCATTAGGTGCGTAAGGGTCCCGAGATGAGTGCACACATATAAGATTTAGGAAAATCGGCTGTTTTCGATATTAAAATTAAGTTTTTGTAAATATATCGAAAAACCTCTTTGTTAGGAGGCAATTAGCATTGACCGGAAGTGGCCGTAGCCTATAAAAAGGGAGGGAGGGTGCGCTTTTCATTTTTTGGTGATCGGCATTCGGCAAGCCCTATGTAAAGTCAAATTTTCAGATGTCCTAAACGGATCCAGGGTTGAAAAGCCGCGAAGCGGTTTTTCAACCCTGGTTTCTTCTTTAAAGGGTACCCAACCTTTTCAGGGCTCAAAAAGCAAAAACCATGCCGCGGGCGGGGTTCGAACCCGGGGCCCCCGCTTTGTAGGCCTAGATGCTATCCATTAGGCCATAGTGGCAAGCCATTGGATGGGATGGGAACGCCACAAGAGGGAAAGGGGGCCGAATTCTGTGCGGCTTTGGGGCCCATTGCCGCACGAAATTCGCGCGTCAGGTGTACTGCCCGGAATACATAATTATATATTTGCCGCCAAAACCTTGTCCTTATTATATATCCCTTTAAACCCGCTTTTTTAGGTCTACCACCACCTGAAGGCCGAGATCAAGAAGCGCTATGGCCTCGACGCGACGGCGGTCGGCGACGAGGGCGGCTTCGCCCCCAATATCCAGGACAATCGGGAAGGCCTCGACCTCCTCAAGTCGGCCATCGAGAAGGCAGGGTACACCGGCAAGGTAAAAAACATCTTTAGTTTTTTTTTGAGAAATAAATTTTCAGATTAAAATCGGCATGGACGTTGCGGCCTCCGAATTCTTCAAGGACGGGAAGTATGACCTGGATTTCAAGGTAACGCTCCTAGGATAACTTTAACAATCCGTTTTTTAGAACCCCAACTCCGACCCGGCCAAGTGGATCAGCGGCGACGAGCTGGCCGACCTCTACCAGTCGTTCATCAAGGAATACCCGGTGGTCTCCATCGAAGACGGCTTCGACCAGGACGACTGGGAGCACTGGGGCAAATTCATGGCGAGCACGGATCTGCAGCTCGTCGGCGACGACTTGACGGTGACCAACCCGAAGCGAATCCAGACGGCCATCGACAAGAAGAGCTGCAACTGCCTGCTGCTAAAGGTAAAGGCTTGGGCGTTTCTTGGCTTCAGTTTTTAAATTAATTTCCGATATTTTGGTATTTTTAGGTCAACCAAATCGGCTCCGTCACCGAGTCGATCGAGGCGGCCACCCTCTCGCGCAAGAATGGCTGGGGCGTGATGGTCTCTCATCGATCCGGTGAGACCGAAGACACCTTCATCGCCGATCTCGTCGTCGGGCTCGCCACAGGACAGGTACATTTTTTTTGGTTCTTTCCCATTATCGGGGGGGGGGCAAATTTTTTCTTACAATGTAATTTCTCCAAAAAGAGATCTCGGAACGGTTTTGAAACTGTTTTACTATTCCTAACCGTAAAAACTTTACAATTTTTTATTAAAAGAACGCAAAAATTATTGATTTTCCGCGAAAAATGGACGTTTTGACCCAAATTTTCGACTTTTTGAAAGATTTTCAGGTATTTTTCCATTTTAAATTTAAAGATAGTTCATTTGACTAACGAACTGAAATGCTTCCTATTAAGTTACCAGTGGAAAAAGTCCGCTTCGCGGCCCTTTTCCACTGGACCCCGTCCAGGAACCATGAATTTGAATCCCTTCTTTTTTTAGCCTGCGGCGCTAGAACCTGAGTCAAGGAGCCATTTTTTGGCCTGCGGCGCCAGCCAGCGTTACGCTAGAATTTTTGAGCCTGCGGCGCTAGTTACTCGTTTTTCTCCAGGATCTGGCCTGCGGCGCGAGAGCCTGGGCCAAGGGGGGCTTTTCTTTGGCCTGCGGCGCTAGAGCGAGAGCCGGGTCTAAGCCTCCGACACTGAGAGCCTAGAAATATGTTTTGTTGCCGAACTACCAAAAAGCAAAAAAATAAATTCTCCAAGGATCCGAACTAATGACCTCACGCGTGGTAGACCGAGCGCTAATCCACCACACTAAGGGGAACATGGAAAGGGGCGGCGGGAAAGCCCTGTTCTCTCCTGGGGAGACGCGGGAAAAGATAAGGGTGACCAATGATCCGGAGGGAGGCCTTCTGGTCACTTTACAAAATTCGATTTTTGAGTCTGAATCTGCCGAAAATTTGCAAAGATAATAATATGCGCATGATCCCCACCCATTATTGCATAAACGGTCCAAATTTCAGCCCGGAGTTCCATCAGGGCTTCGAGTTATGGCCTGGACACCACGGCCCGTTCCGCGATTTATTAAGGACCTTGCAGAAAAATCCTTATAAAAACTTTATCTTAAACTTTTTTGCAAAATCCGTAAAAATGTATCTGGGGAATTCCTTTTCCCATCTACCCTCCAAAAATGAGGGTCCAATTCCCTCTAGGGGCCGAGAAAAGTTCCGGACAACGTGAGCACCCAAAAATGTTAAGGATTTTTTACATTTTTGCTTGTAAAATCGTTAAATAAAAGAATTTCGAAAAATCCAAAAACCGTTTTTTATAAATGGCATTTCCCACCCCCATGCCAAAAATCCGCTCGAAATTCGGCCTGACGGCCGAGAAAACGACCGTACAGAAAACAAACATACTTTTCTCGCTTATAGGATAGGATTAGGCATTTCTAAACTAATACAAACCCCCCCCCCCCCGGTAATGGGAAAGAGCCCATTTCCTTCGGTTGACACTTCCTAACTTGTCTCTTTTAGATCAAGACCGGAGCCCCGTGCCGCTCGGAGCGTCTCGCCAAGTACAACCAGATCCCTGCGCATCGAGGAGGAGCTGGCCCGGATGCCGTCTACGCCGGCGAGCACTTCCGCAACCCCCAAGGAAAATAAGCGGTATCCCTTATCGCCCCCTCAAAAATGTCCCCCTTTAAATTTTGGCCCATCCCCGTAGCATAGAATAGGATCCTGTGTTTGTGTACCATTCCTACGTTGTGCTTTTTTCCTGGCGTTTTGTAGCCCCCTTAACATTGCCAATTTCCCAGTCCCCGTGCGATTTTTGAAACCTGTAATTTCCGTACCATTCACTACCATGATGTAATAAATATTTGATCAGCAACTTGTAAAAATGTGCGCAGCAATGGTTATACAAACCTAGTAGTTTTTGGAGAAGATTTTGAGGGAATTTTTAGGCATTTGGCTTTCGTTTATCGGGTGGGGTACGGGACTTTTTTGTATAGATCCAGAAATATCTAGGAACTTAATAGGAAGTGTTTTAACAATGTTTTTAGAAAAATAAAACAATATTTCAGCGAGAAAAGCCATCGAGAGGGTGGGTGACAGAAGCCCGCAGGCAGAAGCCCGATAGTACCAAATGCCCGCAGGCAAAAGCCCGAAGGCAGATGCCCGAAGGCAAAAGCCCGAAAGGTCAAAAGCCCGCACGGTCAAAAGCCCGAATGGACAAAAGCCCGCACGGACAAATGCCCGAACGGTCAAAAGCCCGCCATACATTTCCGTTCTCACAAAAAAAGATCACCAAAAAGTGGATACGTCTTTTTTTGAAGTCTTCGGGCTTTTGACCGTGCGGGCTTTTGACCTTTCGGGCTTTTGCCTTCGGGCATCTGCCTTCGGGCTTTTGCCTGCGGGCATTTGGTACTATCGGGCTTCTGCCTGCGGGCTTCTGGCACCCACCCCATCGAGAGCTTTCAAAAAGTCGAAAAACGGCCATTGTTGGCCGAAAAATCGGCTTTTCTTGTATTTTTTAATACAAAATTTGTAAAGTTTAGGAATTGTAAAAACCGTTTAGAAAAACTTCCGCTATTTGTATCTGAAAAATTGATTCTAGGAAATCCCTCCGCCCCCGATCATGTGAAAGACCGAATATGTTACTACCAAGCGTTAGGGCTAAAAAGCAGGCAATTGTTAGCGTTTCTCGCTTTCTAGTTTTCGTCAAAACCTGCAAAATGGATGTGGGTCCGGGGGTATCGACTAGGCTGACGACATTCCCGATCTCGCGAACGCTATCCGGCCACTGTCAACGCGCGGATGCTTTTGCCTGCTCCCTTTCGGGCCTGAGCCGTACGCATCTCCTTAACGGCCCGGGACCCCTCCCCCTCCGGGAAGGAACCCCTGGCCACGCATCGCTTGGCGCGGACGTCCGGTCTCCGACCGAGAGAGTGCCGCCAGTGATCCCAGCCTCACTCCGTCCACCACACCCTGCGACCAAGAAGCTGGCTCACAGGCGCCCGCCACGACGCCCCGCGGTTCTGGGTGGCGACTGGGGCTATATAAACGTTAGGTACGAGATATTGGGTGAAAACCGGAAGCGCAGCATGTGGAAGTGCCGGCCCAGACAGCGAGACCTGTGCGGAGACGCCACACATCGAGGGTCTATGTACGGCGAAGAGGGCCCAGGCAAGCAAGAGATTGGAGGTCGCCGACGACACGAGAAGGGCTGGCTTCCCGCCGCGATTGCTCTACAACGGTGCTGACGACGCGACCTAGATGCGAGAGACGAGACGGGCAGTGTCGAGAAACGGGGCGGAGACGGCGGTGAACATGTGGAATTCGGGGACTTGAGCATTGCTGAAAAATCATTGATATTTCGCTTTGACAATCGCTTTGCAAAGCGATTTGACAACCTGTACATCTTTAAAAACGTTATGAGCTTTCTAAACTTTATTTAGAGACTTTTTAGTTTCCGGAAATAACTAGAAATTGTTAGTTTTTGAGGGTAATTTTCCCCTGGCAAGGGACACTTTACCTTTCCAGGCAGCAGAGGAGCAGAAAACATAGAAGCACCTCGTAGTTCAGCGGATTTTACGATTGATTGTTTGGTTCTTTTGCATTATCGGGGAAAACAATTTTATTTTTGGTTTTAGTTTTTATTTAGTTCTATTTCATTACTCTAGAAATTCCTAGTAACCTTCTTCCCCCCGTCCCGACAATGGGAAAGAATCGATTTGCCTTTTCTCTTGCCGTTCTCCATCGATTTTCTTGCCATTTAAAAAACTTGTTTTTCAGGTATGATACTGCCTCGATTAGGTGAAGCCAAGCAGCTTCTCCGGCCCCACTACCTGTGCAACGTGCTGCTGTCGCTCACTTTCATCGTGGCCAAGTCGGTGCCAGGTTTGGAGGGCTTCTTGTTGTTAATTTTAGTATTTTTTGTTTAGTAATCTGCGAGTCGCTCTTCACCTACGAAGATGTGTGCGAGATCGACTCCCGCGAGCGCGAGATCTTGATGTTCCTCGCCGTCGTGATCGTTTGGAAGGGCCGGAAAGCCACCAATTGGCTGCACTACATTTCGAACGTTTTCCTCTTCTCAAAGGTATGGCCGAAAATTAAACGTTATTTCCGTTTTTTTTTAGATTGCCAGCGGGATGCTGTTTCTGCGCGCTGACCCGCTGCTCGGCATCGTCTACGTTTTCCTGGTGCTCGTGCTGGCCGTCGTTTTCCCGGAGCCGATGTACGATGGTCCTGAAAACATCACCTATTTCCAGGTTTGCGGTTTATCTTTATTTTTATGGATTCAAGCGATACTGAAGTATAGAAGGCAACTTTTGATGGTTCTTTCGCGTTATCGGGGGAGGACCGAACTTTTTGTTGTATAAGTCTAAAAGGTCTAGTGTTAGGCATGTATTTTGCTAGTGTTTTAGTAAGATGTAACTATATTGCAGCTAAAAAATATCGATAAATTTGTAAAGTTTTGAAAAAGCCCCCCCCCGATAACGCGAAAGCACCCTTTTGATCAGTTATTTGTCGTTTTAAACGAGAAACAGAAAATCGTCTTTGGACTTTATTAAGCCATATTTTTTTAGGGCGAAGGCCTCTTTCGCGAGCTCACCACAAACAAGAAGAACACCTGGATCATCATGTTCTACACCACATGGTCGCCCGACTGCCGCCACGTCAACCCGATCTTCGCCGAGCTGTCGCAGCGCTTCGAGCTGGCCAACCTCAAGTTCGGCAAGCTGGACATCGGGCGATGGGCCGCCGAAGGGGAACGCTTCCGCGTCAACGCCCACCCAACCAGCCGGCAGCTGCCCACGATTTGCGTGTTTGAAGGTACGATTCGGTGTTCTGGTTCTTTCGCATTATCAGGGACGACCTTGTTTTGCTTATGATCAGGGTTGGTCACAAAGGATCCGGTCCGCGGACGGTCCGCGGTCCGGTCCGGTCCGGATCGGTCCGAGTGGATCCGAGAATTTCGGACCGGACCGGACCGGACCGGTCCGTTCTGAACACGAAGGGACATGATTCAGGAGCCAGATATGGAAAATTTTGTATGCAAAATACTACTCGCGAAGAATTTGACATATTTTTCCACATCTAGGCTACTAGCCGTCGCGTATATAGCCAAAAATTAATGGGGGACGAATAATTTTATACATTTTGATTAAGCGAATTCCACATTGCGTCATTTTTTGGTACGCCACTCTTTTGCATTCCGAATTTGCATGTTGCATTTCCGTTTCTCCTAGCAAATCAAAGCCCCTCGGACCGCCACGGACCGGACAGGTCCGGTCCAGTCCGGTCCGGTCCGGTCCGGTCCGGATGGAAATTTCGGACCGGACCGGACCGGACCGACCCCCGGACCGGTCCGGATCCGATTAGGATCCAGCGTGACCAACCCTGCTTATGATCCAATTTTTCAAATCTAAATAAGGAAAGTGTTTCTAAACGGGTTTTTACTATTCGTAAACGTGAAAAGTTCATAAATTTTTCATTAAAGGGGCTCCGAAATCTGGTCCACGGGCCCCTGCTGTGATTCCTGGCAAATAGCCAGATGCGCCCGCAACGCGACCGCGCCGCATGGTCTTTTGCCCCGGTTTGGACGCGACAACGCTTGAATTTAAAAATTCTGATGCTATTTTTGGAATCTTCACCAAATTTTGATCATTCTAGACTTTTAAATTATGCAAATTGACCAGAGAATCACCGAGATCGAGAGATTGGGTGCCTTACAAAGCATTACGACGTGTAATCGCCGCGCACTCAAAATGTCGTTTTCGCCCCAAAAAGAATTCGGATTTTCTCAAATATTTTACGTTTTTTTCGCAATGAAATCACTTTTCTGGCACTTCTCGGCAGTAACCCTTTCGTTTTTTGACCAGTAGGTTCAATCCCCGCACGCACGAATTTTGACTTCTGAGCCCCTTTAAATAATGCAAAAAGTATCGAGTTTTCGGCCAAAAAAACCGTATTTTGATAGAGATGTCGACTTTTTAAAAAAAGGTTTTAGATAGTTTTTGTCGAAACATAGTTAGATTTTGCGAAAACCCCTATTAAAACACTTCCTAATAAGCTTGCTACACATTTCAAGACTTATGCGAAAAAGTGCGGTCCCTCGATAATACAAAAAAAACCTTCGTTCTTTCTTTATCTTCAAAACAAAAAACCGGCTTTCTTTTTTATCTTTATCCGTTTTTTTCAGATGGAAAAGAGATCCGGCGACGGCCGCTCGTCAACGACAAGCACCGCGCAATCCCCTTCGTCTTCAACGTGGACAACTGCGTGCTCGAGTTCGACCTCATCAACCTCTACAACAAGTGCAAAGACACCGCCAAGGGCAAGCAGCCGGCCGCCAAAAAGAACGAGTAATTGACGGATTTTGCGATGGTTTTGTGATTTTTGTGCAATCGTTGGTTGTTTGATATCCTAGTCGTTGCCTTAGTTAGACGGTTCTTTCGCATTATCGGGGGGGGGATTTTTTTTTGTCTAAGTCTAAGTATGTGTAAATGAATAGGAAATGTTTTGATAGTGTTTCTAGTAAAATATAGAAAAACTGGTAAAATTATCTAAAAACGCTCAAAAAGTTTTGAAAAAGTGTAAATTTTAGTAAAAAAAATTTGATATTTTTACTGTTTTTGATACAAATTTGTAGTTAGTAAAAAACCGTCTAGAAAGATTTCCACAATTTATATTTGAAAAATTGCATCCTAAGTTATAAAAAAGTGCCCCCTCCCGGCTAACGCGAAAGAACCGTTAGATCTATCAAATTTAGCTGTTTCCGGATTTTGTAATGATTTTTGTGCCCAGGCCCGCACTTCATTCTTCCAATATGGGATCTCAATCAGCCAATTGCTCACCTACCAGGATGCCTTTACCCCAAAATTTGCCGGAGATTCTCTCATTTCGCCAAGCCGCTTGATACTCGCATTGTCACGCTTTTGCTCTTTTTTGTTTCGTGGCGTTTTCTGTGTGTTCTCCCTTTTCGCGCCTAGTTAGTAAGGATGTAATAAAATTGAGTGCTTTCCAGATGTGCGGGTAGCCGGTAAAAATGGCCGTCGTTGAAGCAGCACCGCCGCCGTCGGCCGAAGCGGCCGGGCTGGCCGATCAGCTGGCCCAAAAGGAGATGGATTATAATGTGAGTGAATGCTGGAAATTTTAGATTACCGCTCTTTTTAAGCAACCGCCTTTTTGCGTAAATTTTCGAGATATCAGGGTGGTGCTAGATGGCAGTTTTGGGCGTCAAGAAACGTCACAAAATTCAGGAACTCCAATCGCTCTTCACCAAGTACAAGCTGAAGCAGAAGGTGAAGTATGACAAACTGCGCGACGAGGTGATGGCGTACGTGAAGAAGACGGGCGCATCGGCGGAGAAAGAGGTAGCTTTACGATGGTTAAAAACAAAGCTTCTGTAGGGTCAATGGGCCTAGTAATTGGACCCATAAAGGGTTGGTTATATTGTTTTTTTAGTGGGTTTTGACTATATTTGAAGTAGAAACTTCGGAAAAAATTAGAAAGGCGTTTAAAAATTCGAAATCTTGGCCATTTTCAGACGTCAAAAATATATTTTTCAGGCAAATTAAATTTTGACCCGAATGCGGTGGGTTTTTATGCTCAGGTATAGCTAGAGATATATCCGCTATTCTCCAAAAACGTGAAGTCTTGCGCCGCCAATTCCTAATTCCCACAAAATTTAGAACAACGCCGCGCTCATGATTCGGATCTCGGAGACGGAGCTGAAGCTAGAGGAGGCCGAGAGAAGAGCCGAAACTCATGCACGCGAGCTGCAGAGGCGCCAGACCCAGATCAACGACCAGATCATTGTGATTAGGGTGAGAAAAAGCAAAGGATCCTTGAAATCGCAAAGTTTAGAACCTGGAGAGCCAGCTTCGCTCCCGAAGGCCGCTGTCCGACATCGAACGCAGCGAGCGGCGCCGGATGAACGAGATGATCGACATGGACAGCATTCAGGCGCAGATGACGTACAAGGACGAGCGAATTGTCGAGCTGAACAACGTTATCCTGGAGCGCGAGCGGCAGATTTTGGACTTGCAAGAATTGGTGGGTTACTAAGCGCATCTGGCCCAGTCTAAAAGTTAGAGGTTCTTTCGCATTATCGGGGGGCAAATTTTTTTCTCGGGATCTAATTTTTCAAAATTAAACAGTGGAAGGGTTTCTAAATTGTTTTTTACGAATCCTGAGATACAAAACTTTACAAATATTATTTGAAAAATATCGACTTTTCGACCAAAATTACCAACGTTTTCAAAGATTTTTTAAAGTTTCTAAGTCGTTTCTCTAGTGGAAAAATAGTTTTGTTATATTAAAAACATTGTTAAGATAATTACTATTAAGTTACTAGGCATTTCTAGTTTTATATAAATCGCCACACCGATGTTTCGACAAAAATGGCGGGTTTTGACCAGAATTTCGACTTTTCGAAAACATTTTAAAGTTTTAAGATTTAAAGTTTTTAGATAGTTTTATCGTTGAAATATCGTGAGGTGTTACTAACGCAACTAAAACACTTCCTATTAAGTTACTTTAGATTCCCAGAATTAGACAAAAAAGTCCCCTCCACCCGATAATGCGAAAGAGCCAAAATAGATAATAGGTACCCCATTTTTAGTAAACAGAAAAAACACACAATAAAAACATTGTTTTAGGTTCGTGAGCACGACGAGGTGGCGAGCAGCAAGAAACAGGCGATGCGGTTGGTGCAGAAACGCTTTGAGGTGGGTACAAACTGGAAAACCAGCTTTTGGAGTAAAAACAAATGATTTTATGAACTTATATTATATTATTTCACCTTGTATTATTGGCTG